CAACGGGAGGAAGGAGGGGGGTGGGGTTGGGAGGGGGGATGGATTTATACTCAGGTCATTGGACGCGTGTGTTATACTTAATATTATACTGTCCCCGTGGTTTTAGATCTATGCACCCCGTATACTTTACATGTAGATCTAGATCTAGATCTAGCAAAGTTTGATAATTTCTTTGCATAATTTCTGATATTATTTTCCTTTATCATTCTTTGTTAAAATTAACAGAATCGCATTATTTCACATTGTTGGGCCCAATTTGCAAAATTTCAGAATTTCTTTTTGCCTAGAACCGCGGGGACATGTTATAACTCTCGGAATGAGGGGTGTAGGGGAAGGGTGGGAAGGGAGAAAAACGGGGGGCGGGGGAGAGGAAGGGAGGATTTATACTCAGGTCAGTTATTCTCGTGTGTGTTATAACTCTCGAAATTAGGGGTGTGGGGGAGGAGGGGGAGAGGGGAGGAAGTAAGTTCCCAGGGGCGTGCTCGCTGACCTGGAGCCTGGTCAGTGGACGTCTGTGTGTTGTTAGAGAAGTGTTGCTTTTTTTAAAGGGGGAGGGTATCTATACTCACAAAGGGTAGGGTGGTGGTAGGGAGGTTATGGACTTTATTGTGTTGTAAGTGCTGTAAAACATGACTTGCTAAAACAAACAAAAACGCCATTTCTCTCCCCTCCCTCTCCCCAAACAACCCAAAGGCACAATGGACAGCATCCGATCCGGTCCCTTCGGACAGATCCACCGACCAGACAATTTCATCTTCGGCCAATCAGGGGCAGGCAACAACTGGGCCAAAGGTCATTACACGGAGGGGGCGGAGCTTGTGGACTCTGTGCTTGACGTGGCGCGGAAGGAGGCGGAGTCATGTGACTGCCTGCAGGTAATAATACACTCCTCAACATAATTTAATGACCCCGTCTGCTGGGACATTTCAGTATCCCACTTTCTGCACTTTTTAAGGACCCCGGGCAAGTGTTGAGTTCCTGCGTGCTGTCGGCATCGCTGACCGTTTATGAAGCAACAGCGCCAGAAGAGAGAGAGAGAGAGAGAGAGAGAGAGAGAGAGAGAGAGAGAGAGAGAGAGAGAGAGAGAGAGAGAGAGAAGGAAAGGACCACTTGCAGACACGCTGAGTGGTCTTGTTGGGTCGACCTGCACGTGGACGTGATCCACGCGGGTTGATGGCGCTGCCTCAAGCGGACAATGACAGAGTGTGACACTGCAAGCCTTCTGGCAACTTCTCGGGCTCCAACTCCATCCTGCAACCATGCCATAGCTCTGGCACGGTCAAAGTCTCTCAGATTTCATCATGGTGGTATGTTGATGCGATGCTGGATTTTACACAAATGGCGGATTGCCACCAAAGTGAGCACAGTTCGAGACCGTACGTTCGTTCATGACGTGCACCAGCAATTTTAACTGAGGAATGTCCGTGGTGTCGCACACAAGTCGATAAAAAAAACAGCAAATGTGGTTTAAATTCCCCAAGGATTTTCGTGTTGCAAGTGGTGGTTTTGCCCCTTTAGGAAGCTTTGCAGTACACTTTGGTAACCCATTGACACTTTCAGAGCAAAACAGTTTTGAAGCAATCCTTACTGTCTTTTTTTTCGGACTTAAAAAACATCAGGGCTGTTTGTCAAGGTGGTCCTTAACTAATGTTGAAGTCTGTAGATAGCTTTTGTATAGCACAAATCCCCGCTCAACAGCAAGCTCTATGCGCTTCACAGTCAATACTATTACCCCAGCAGACCTGTGAACATTTTGAAACAAACTCAGCTTCCAGAGAAGCATACAGTTCAAGCAGCCATTTATAGGCGCTAAAACACTAACATACTGACTTTAAGACCTTTCGCTGTCTATGGCCGGGTACCCATTTCCACCTGAGTGAAGTGAGGAAAATCCGTGTAAAGTGTCTTCCCCTAGGACACAACGTCGGGCTCGCGGCTCAAACCCCCGACCCCGCAACCTCACGATTACGAGTCCGGTAGCCTAACCACTAGGCCACGACGCCACAACCTCACGATTTCGAGTCCGGTAGCCTAACCACTCGGCCACGACGCCACAACCTCACGATTTCGAGTCCGGTAGCCTAACCACTCGGCCACGACGCCACAACCTCACGATTTCGAGTCCGGTAGCCTAACCACTCGGCCACGACGCCACACATTATGTCACTGCCGTGTCAAGGCAAAGCGACGTATATGCACTATTTATGATTTAGAGTTACGTCGCGCTGCCATTGGAAATACGGGCATGGCCCTTCAGTTACGTGCGTCTGTTTGTAGAGCAGATACGTCTTCCTGCCTTAGACACAAGGTGCAGAATGGGTATGGGCGTCCATTTAAACGAAGATGCAAAAATTAAAAGATACGTCGATCTGCCTTAGAACGGCTGTAAATTATACCTCTCTTGGTTCTGTCTTCTAGTTTTTGCTTCTTTAGAAGGGCAGAAGATACTCTCTTGTAACACATCTCTAATCTTCGGGACTGATATGACCTTATTGTGTTGCGAGTGTCGTAAAACTAAAACAACCACCCTGTTACCCCCCCCCCCCCCAGGGCTTCCAGCTAGCCCAGTCACTAGGGGGCGGGAGCGGCTCCGGCCTGGGTACTCTCATCATCAGCAAAGTGAGGGAGGAATATCCCGACCGCATCATGACCACCTTCTCCATCGTACCTTCACCCAAAGTAAGTGCCAGTACTACATGTGTGTACTACCTTCCCCCAAAGTAAGTGCCAGTGCTACATGTGTGTACTACCTTCCCCCAAAGTAAGTGCCAGTACTACATGTGTGTACTACCTTCCCCCAAAGTAAGTGCCAGTACTACATGTGTGTACTACCTTCACCCAAAGTAAGTGCCAGTACTACATGTGTGTAGTACCTTCACCCAAAGTAAGTGCCAGTACTACATGTGTGTACTACCTTCACCCAAAGTAAGTGCCAGTATTACATGTGTGTACTACCTTCACCCAAAGTAAGTGCCAGGATATGACGTATGTGGATCCTTACATATTTTTGGGCATATGAAATTATTGGTATCATCTTAAAGGTTGTTTATTTGTCTTGCTTTCGATGATCCATTCATCTTGGATACAAGTCCAGATAATAATATTTCCGATTGAAAGAGGTGGGGGTCGCCTGGTTTCAGAAGTAAAATTAGCCAGAAAATGGTGGCCACATTTTTGTCCGGCCTTGTTTCCTTGGCTGGAGAGTCCGTGGAAACAGAAAAGTTATAATTTTTGTGCTTTTAATCGATGTTTCCAGTAAAAATGTGTAAACTACCGTAATTTTGTCATGAACAGATGGTATAACAGTGGCTATCGGTCTCCCATCAGGATTTTGGAAGCCATTGAATATAATCTAGATTTAATAGTGGTCGCTCGTACGGAAGTCCTCCCTTACAAAGATAAAGAAGAAGAAAAAAGAACAGGACAGCAGGCACAGTTCGACAGATACCTGATTTCGAGTCTTCTGTGTTCGACCTATCCGTGTTATACGCTATGTTACTTTTTAATAACACCTCTGATCTTCAGCACTTATAGGACCTATTTGGTCGCTTTTAAGGACAAGCGGGCTAACCCAGATTTTTGTTTTTTGTTTTTTTGTTTTGGGGGGGGGGGGTCCAGAAATCTTGACCTACACCAAAAGTGGGTATTGCTCTACCTATAGGAGACGTTTGATTTCATTGGTGTGTATATATGTATTTGTTTGTTTATAGAGAAAACTCTTTGTATTTTAAAGAAACTAAACAAGGGGTAAAAACTTTACCTTCGATTTTCTCAAAACATTTTCGTGATAATCCCCTTGTGCTTAAAAAGCGACCATTTAATGTTGCAAGTGGCGAAAAAATTTGACGACAACTATCACCTGTGTGGCATTGGGTGCTCTTGTGTGGTTTGCTTCTTCTTTCCTATGAAACATCTATCATCCTTATCTCCCCTTTTTTACGTTTGTGACTGTCTAGTAACACCTCCAATCTTCGGCAGTAATATGACCTTATTGTCTTGCAAGTGCTGTAAAACACTTACTAAAACTAATCTTCAGCTCTTATGGGACCCATTTAATGTTGCGAGTGCCGTAAAACCTCTACTAAAACTAAACTAAAACTAGGACCTATCAAACGTTGCAAGTGCCGTAAAATTGTGACTACAACTAAACGAAAACTAGGACCTATTTAATGTTGCAAGTGCCGTAAAACAGTGACTACAAGTATTATCTCTATGACCCAGGTATCGGACGTGGTGGTGGAGCCGTACAACGCGACCCTGGCCATGCATCAGCTGGTGGAGAACACAGACATGACCTACATCATCGACAACGAGGCTCTCTACGACATCTGCTTCCGGTAGCCATCTTTGCCCGTCTGTCTGTTAGTCAGTTAGCCTGCTTGTAGTTGTCGTGGGTGGTTGGCGGGTGCTCTGGTGTGGTTTGCTTCTTCTTTCCTCTCAAACATCTATCGTCCTTATCTCTCCTCCTTCTTTTTTATGTTTGTCACTCTCTTGTAACACCTCTAATCTTCTGGCGTTTATATGTCCTTATGCAGTTGCGAGCGCCGTAAAACACTTACTAAAGCTAAAACTTATGAAATAGAATAGAACCGTGTATAAATGACTCTTAAATACAGAAAAGAAACATACACACACACACACACACACACACACACACACACACACACACACACACACA